AAAACAGAAATCGAAAAAACATACAATAAATTTCGGAAGATTGTCCACGGAAAGGAAACAAATAAAGCTGACACGCGTCCAACAATTCACGAAACACCGCATATATCGACTGTCGTCTGTGAGAGCATTAAGTACTGAAGATGATCGTACAGTACTGCTATATACATATTAAACTTGTCTGGAGAAGGTTTCAAAGATGAGAGGAATGCAAAGAATGCTTTTTGACCACTCCAAGCTTTCTTCCTGTCAAAAATGAGGCATAGTTCAGCATCAGCTGAAAAACGTGCAAGTGGAACGATTATAAATGTGCACATAAAACATGATATAGCCTAAGATTATACTGCTTGATAATTCCGATTCGCAACCGAAAAAGTTCTCACATGCAGGCATGAACCAAGTGAAGCCGAGCACATTGCTTGAGGAGCAGCTCGTGTGCTATAGAGCTTCAGCTAGCGATAGGGCAGGGAAAACGGTGGAACGCTTATACAACTTCTGGCATTTCGCCAATTTTTAAATTTTACGCGCAATGATTCTTTGTTTAAATTATTGCCTTCAGATATTTTTTCATTTTCCTTTCGCCTTTCGCGAAATGGTTTCGTTACTGCAAAAATCTACTTTGTACGTGTAGAGTGCTTCTTATTAAATTTTGTCTCCTACATCTGTGCTGATGCTTGGCATGCGTCATTCTTTTTCTTTTTTTTTTTTATTTTTTTTTTTTTGATATTTGAAAGGTATATATAGTTGAGCAGGTAACGTCATAAGATATATAGTTTTATGTAATTTGCTGGAATTTTTTAATGCAAATTCCATTAACTGCTTTACAAATCTACGACTTTTGTAATAGTTTATTTTAATCGTTTTACAGGGTTTAAATGTCAGATTCCGTTTTATTGAAGCGTTTAAGAGACCTAGAGCTTAAAATACTTAAGGAACGGACGTTGCCTGGTGGCACTGCTGAAGGTGAAGTTACTGCTATTGAAGCCATTTTGGTTATAGTATTGACTGAATGTATTATAAATGATTCCTATGTGCTCTTTATTTTTCCTTTTTCTCTTTTCAGTTTTTTCACAGCTCTCGTGAATGGAGGTTTTAAATTTGGGCCGCATTCGAATTGGGAAGGGAGGAATAGCTGGGAGGGCAGTGAAAAACCTCTTTAGAAAACTAAAGTATGGAGTTAGGAATTCTGCGACTTCCTCTGTGGATTAAAATCCTGCCTTGTAAAGTCTTAAAATAGTTCTTCAAAAAATGTACCCTGAATGTTTTTAAGTAACGCCGTTATTTGTTTTTCCGTAACATTCTTTTAGTTTATGATAACACTTGCTCCAGTTATCTTGAACACCTATTGGCTCTGCTTTCCTTTTCCAAGAAATTTCACTTGTTCAGCTGTGCTCTGTAATATGAAGCAGACTTGGGAGTTATAAGAGTGTTTTTGCTTTTTTGGGGCAGATTGAAGTTAGCTTGAGCAGGTAACGTGTTTTCTGTTGAAATCTCAAAGAAGACCAAACTTGTTTCAAGATTATTCCTTCCAACTGACAGTTTTATCTGTTGTGAGCAAATGCGTTGCCTTGTATTAGGATCCCGCTCATTTATCTACTTTTACTTATCAGTGGCTGATTTTACTGTTTTTTTCAAACACATTGTTACTTTTCTTTGCCAAAATTCAAAGTAATAGCAGTTATACGTCTAAACATTACGAGATTTTCGATGCCAAATATGTAATAAGTAGTTGAGTGCGTTTTAAATGAAAGAAAATTTCCAGTAGGAATTAAATAAGTACAAAGGTTCCAACTGTAGTAGTTGCGAGAAAAGTCGCAGGTAAGATATGCAGCTGCCTAAGCAGTCGGCAAGCAGTGCCTAATGAAGAAAATAGAAAACGAATTCTATTAGTTCCTGGCTTCATGTCGAAATCCTGCTTCCTTAGAGGGTATCCAACGGAAAGATTTGGAGGTCCTAGAGTCTCCCACCCTATTCTTCGTTTTCTAACAATGGTCACTAAAATAATATCTGTAGGCTTTTTTTCGGTTGCATTCGGCTACGTTTTTTTTTTTT